GACGTGGAATCAAGATTTAACTTTCGCTGGAATCTAGATTCGATATATTTGAGAACGTCTACCCACAATTAATGGGTTCAAGTTTCTAAAGATGTGTTGGATCGAGTTTCTAAATTTAAGGAATCGAATTCCTCTGATTTCGATAAATGGTTTCTAAAGATGTGTTGAATCGAGATTCCAAAATTAAGGAATTGAGTTTCCTTGGTTTCAAAAAATGGTTTATAAAGATATGCCGAATCGATATTCCGAAATTAAGGAATCGAGTTTCCTTGGTTCCGAAACTGTTTCCGTGGAGATTCCTTAACGGAAATGCAGAATCGGGTTTTGGAATTGGAAACGCGAGGTCGGTGGAGAGATTCTGATAACTATGGTCCCTCTCACAGCTGGTAAGCTGCCAATCGCTTTAAGAGTGAGGTCAAAGCAATCCACACATGGGCTCAAAAAAAGTTTATTCTCTTTTGTTGCAACTTAGTTTCACTCGTCATATTGGTTGCAGCCTTGTTAGCGACCACTTGAACCAATTTTTTCCATTTCATTCATGTGTTGCTACCTTATCTCATCAATGTACTGGTCTACCATATATCCTCCATCATGGGTTTAATCAAATTCATGTATGGACTCTGAGAATATTGTCCCCAAAGAGCCGTTTACATAAAATGCATGATTTTTCTCTTATCTGTCCTCATATCGGTCATTATGTTTACCCCATACGTCACCCAACCCTATCTGTGTGTCTCGAGATACTCCCTAGTGAGTGGCACCTCCTTTCTTTGTAAGGGCTTCTTAAGCTCATAAACTGTAGGGGCCTTTAACTGTGGTCCTAACTTCCCAATGGCTTCCATTATTGTGTGAAAGCTCTTTAGGCCAGCCACATTAAAAGAAATGTTGGCTTCGTACCTCCATTAGGCTTTAGATTGACATTTATAGTCCCTATTTACCTTCTTGAATTGATTTTCAATTGTTGTTTGCTTTATTGGTTCTTCATCTTTAACCACAACATCGAGGTCTCAGTTTATGTAAAATCCCATTGGCCCCTTACTACAATCCCCTTAGTCCCAAATAGTCTCACCTACTACCCTTAGATGACCCAACTTCAGTCTGCCCATCATCATCATCTCTGCTAACTAGGCCGCCTTATCATCTTTTCCTTAGATGAACCTACTTCAGTCGCCCCTTCATCATCATCTCTACTAACTAGGCCGCCTTAACATCTTTTTTCTTCCTTTCGAACTCCCAAAGAAGCCTTCGCCTATGGCAAAAACCAAAAAAAAAAAAAGATAAAAAGAAAAAAAACCATCTAGTTGCTTCTCAATTCTAAAAGAGCCTCCTATTGTATGTTTTTGGCCCTGGATAGAGCGGAATGGTGGAACAGGATTCGTGAAGCCAACTCCAAATAGTTGGGATAAGGCTCGGATAATAATGATAATGATTTGGCTAAAGCCTATTTTCCATCCCAAATCCCCATGTGGATTTAATCTGCTAGAAGACATAATCAAAAACTCAGAAAACCCAGGTGCAGATGTCCCCAAAATATTGAAGGGGAAAATGACCTTAAAGGCTCTTACCCATGGACATTTTCTGCCCTTGTGTCAGGGCGGTCATTATGGCAAGCGCCGTCCCAAGGCTGTGCCACCTTGCCCTAGGCATGTACAATATTTGTGTATGTGCGTGCATGCATGTGTGTGTGTGTGTGTGTGTGTGTGTGTGAGAGAGAGAGAGAGAGAGAGAGAGAGAGAGAGAGAGAGACGTACGTCGTATATAAGTTAA